CAGTGCCCCATAGAGGTTCCTGTCCCCCCCATACAACCTCCCAGTGCCCCATAGAGGTTCCTGTCCCCCCCATACAACCTCCCAGTGCCCCATAGAGGTTCCTGTCCCCCCCATACAACCTCCCAGTGCCCCATAGAGGTTCCTGTCCCCCCCATACAACCTCCCAGTGCCCCATAGAGGTTCCTGTCCCCCCCATACAACCTCCCAGTGCCCCATAGAGGTTCCTGTCCCCCCCCCATACAACCTCCCAGTGCCCCATAGAGGTTCCTGTCCCCCCCATACAACCTCCCAGTGCCCTAGAGGTTTCCTTGTCCCCCCCATACAACCTCCCAGTGCCCCATAGAGGTTCCTGTCCCCCCCATACAACCTCCCAGTGCCCCATAGAGGTTCCTGTCCCCCCCATACAACCTCCCAGTGCCCCATAGAGGTTCCTGTCCCCCCCATGCAACCTCCCAGTGCCCCATAGAGGTTCCCTTGTCCCTCCCATACAACCTCCCAGTGCCCCATAGAGGTTCCTGTCCCCCCCATACAACCTCCCAGTGCCCCATAGAGGTTCCTGTCCCCCCCATACAACCTCCCAGTGCCCCATAGAGGTTCCTGTCCCCCCCATACAACCTCCCAGTGTGCCCCCCCCCATACAACCTCCCAGTGCCCCCCCTGTCCCCCATACAACCTCCCAGTGCCCCATAGAGGTTCCCCCCCATACAACCTCCCACTGCCCCATAGAGGTTCCTGTCCCCCCCCATACAACCTCCCAGTGCCCCATAGAGGTTCCTGTCCCCCCCATACAACCTCCCAGTGCCCCATAGAGGTTCCTGTCCCCCCCCCCAGGACTGCAGCGTTCTGGCCTTCGTGCTGGACCACCTCCTGCCGCACACGCCCAACGTGGAGGACAAGGACACCCCGGCGCTGGCGCGGCTCTTCCTGGCCAGCCTGGCAGCCGCCGGCACCGGCACCGACGCGCAGGTGGCGCTGGTCAACGAGGTGAAGGCGGCGTTGGGCCGGGCCCTCGCCATGGCCGAGAGCACCGAGAAGCACGCCCGGTATGGGGCCGGGGGGATGCCATAGGGATGCTATGGGGACATCAGAGACCCCATGGTGTTCGGGGTACCATGGGGTTGCCATAGGGATGCTATGGGGACACCAGAGACCTCGTGGTGGTGGGGATGCCATAGGGATGCTATGGGGACATCAGAGACCTCGTGGTGGTGGGGATGCCATAGGGATGCTGTGGGGACACCAGAGACCCCGTGGTGGTGGGGGTACCATGGGGATGCCATAGGGATGCTATGGGGATACCAGAGACCCCGTGGTGGTGGGGATGCCATAGGGATGCTATGGGGACACCAGAGACCTCCTGGTGGTGGGGATGCCATAGGGATGCTATGGGGACACCAGAGACCTCGTGGTGGTGGGGGTACCATGGGGATGCCATAGGGATGCTATGGGGACACCAGAGACCTCCTGGTGGTGGTGGTACCATGGGGATGCCATAGGGATCCTATGGGGACACCAGAGACCGCATGGTGGTGGGGATGCCATAGGGATGGTATGGGGACACCAGAGACCCCATGGTGGTAGGGGTACCATGGGGTTGCCATAGGGATGCTATGGGGACACCAGAGACCTCGTGGTGGTGGGGATGCCATAGGGATGCTATGGGGACACCAGAGACCTCGTGGTGGGGGGGGTCCCATGGGGATGCCATAAGGATGCTATGGGGACACCAGAGACCCCGTGGTGGTGGGGGTACCATGGGTTTGCCATAGGGATTCTATGGGGACACCAGAGACCTCGTGGTGGTGGGAGTACCATGGGGATGCCATAGGATTGTCTCCTCCATGGGGCTGTATCCTCCATGGGGTTGACATCTTCTCCATGGGGCTGATGTCTCCTCCATTGGGTTGACTTTCCTCCATGGGGCTGACATCATCTCCATTGGGCTCTCCTCCTCCATTGGGTTGACGTCTCCTCCATGGGGCTGACATCTCCTCCATGGGGCTGTATCCTCCATGGGGTTGACATCTCCTCCATGGGGCTGATGTGACCCCCACATTTCCCCCCCCCGCAGGCTCCAGGCCGTCATGTGCATCATCAGCACCATCATGGAGTCCTGCCCCACCACCTCCAGCTTCTACAGCAGCGCCACCAAGACGCAGCACAACGGCATGAACAACATCATCCGCCTCTTCCTCAAGAAGGGCTTGGTCAACGACCTGGCCAGGGTGCCCCACAGCCTCGACCTCTCCAGGTGCCCCCCCTCTTTGGGTCAAGATCCCCCCAGTTTGGGTCAAGATCCCCTTATTTTGGGTCAAGATCCCCTCATTTTGGGTCAAGATCCCCTCGTTTTGGTCAAGATCCCTTGTTTTGGGTTGAGATCCACCCACTTTGGGTCAGGATCCCCCCATTTTGTGTCAAGATCTCCTCATTTTGGGTTACGATCCCCCTATTTTGGGTCAAGATCCCCCCATTATGGGGTTATGAGGGATATTGATGGGTTATGGTGGAATCTCAAGGGGGTTTGATGGGGTCTTGATGGGTTCTGATGGGTCTTGGGGGGGTCTCAAGGGGCTGTGATGGGTTTTGGTTTGGTATTGATGGGTTGTGATGGGTCTTGGGGGGGTCTCGATGGGTTGTAGTGGGGTTTTGGGGAGTATTCATGGGTTGCAATGGGGTTTTGGGGGGTATTCATGGGTTATGGTGGGATCTCAAGGGGTTGTGATGGGGTCTTGGTGGGTTACGATGGGTCTTGGGGGGCTCTCGATGGGTTGTGATGGGGTTTTGGGGGGTCTTGATGGGTTGTAATGGGGTTTTGGGGGGTATTGATGGGTTGTGATGGGGTTTTGGGGGGTCTTGATGGGTTGTAATGGGGTTTTGGGGGATCTTGATGGGTTGTAATGGGGTTTGGGTGGGTCTTGATGGGTTGTAATGGGGTTTTGGGGGGTCTTGATGGGTTGTAATGGGGTTTGGGTGGGTCTTGATGGGTTATGGTGGGTGTTCAAGGCGTTGTGATGGGGTCTTGGGGCTATCTCAAGGGGTTCTAATGGGGTTTGGGGGGCTCTTGCTGGGTTCTGCTGGCTCTCAAGGGGCTGTGCTTGCTCTCAACGGGCCGGGCTGGCTTTGGGGGGCTCCGTGCGGCTGTGGGGGCTCAGTGGTGCCCCCCTCTCCCCCCCAGCCCCAACATGGCGAACACGGTGAACGCGGCGCTGAAGCCCTTGGAGACGCTCTCGCGCATCGTGAACCAGCCCAGCGGGAGCCTCTTCGGCACCAAGGGCTCGTCCAGCAAGAGCAAGGCCGAGGGCGGCGGCGGTGCCCGGGACAGCGGCGCTGCCCCCCCCGATGGAGGTACCCCCATAGCACCCATGGTGTCCCCATAGCGCCCGTGGTGTCCCCATAGCGCCCGTGGTGTCCCCATAGCGCCCGTGGTGTCCCCATAGTGCCCGTGGTGTCCCCATAGCGCCCGTGGTGTCCCCATAGCACCCATGGTGTCCCCATAGCGCCCGTGGTGTCCCCATAGCGCCCGTGGTGTCCCCATAGCGCCCATGAAACCCCCATAGCGCCCGTGGTGTCCCCATAGCGCCCGTGGTGTCCCCATAGTGCCCGTGGTGTCCCCATAGCGCCCATGGTGTCCCCATGGTGTCCCCATGGTGTCCCCGTAGCACCCATGGTGTCCCCGTAACACCCGTGGAGCTCCCGTGGTGCTTCCATAGCACCCATGGAGCCCGCATGGAGCCCCCATAGCGCCCATGGTGTCTCCATAGCACCCGTGGTGCTGCCATAGCACCTATGGTGTCCTCATAGTGCCCATGGTGCCCCTATAGCACCTATGGTGCCCTATGGCACCTCCACTGCACCCCATAGCACCCCCAGTGCATCCCATTGCACCCCCTGACACCCGCACTGCACCCCAGCCCACCCCATAGCAGCCCCACAGTGGCTCATGGCACCCTATGGCACCTGACCTGCATCCTGTAGTGCCCCAACAGCACCCAATGGTGCCACATAGCACCCCAGGGCACCCCCCCAGCACCCCCCCTGTATTCCAAAGCCCCCCCCCCCCATGATCTCCCCCTTTGTTCATGTCCCCCCCCCGGTATCCCCCAACTTCCCCTATCCCCCCTCCTCATCTCCCTTAACACCCCCCCCCCCATATCCCCCCCTAACCCACCCTGGGGGGCACCTCCCCATCCCCCTGACCCCCACTTTAAACCCGCCCCCCCCATATTAAAGGGGACCCCGGGGACCCCGAGCCCCCCGAGGAGGACGCGGAGGTGACGCAGGCAGAGGCAGCCGATGGGGACATGGATGGGGAGGCCGAAGGTGACCCCGGGGGGCAGCCCGAGGGCCTCAGCACCCAGGAGATGCAGGTGAGAGCCCAACCCCCACCCCCTGCACCCCCAACCCCGCCCCCCAGCACCCCAAAACCTCTCCATATCCCCCCCTCCCCCATAAGGTGGAAAATGAACTGGAAGATCTCATTGATGAGCTACTGGAGCGGGATGGAGCCGCTGGGAACAGCACCATCATCGGTGAGTCCCCCCCCATTTAGCACCCAAAATGGGGTGTCCCTTATAACAGGGATCCCCCCACACTTATGGGGTGCCCCCCTGATGGTGATTCCCCCCCCCCCTTTCCAAGTGAGCCGCTCCGGTGAGGATGAATCCCAAGAGGATGTGCTCATGGATGAGGCTCCCTCCAACCTCAGCCAAGCCTCCACGCTCCAGGCCAATAGGGAAGGTGGGTGCCCCATAGGGGACCCCCAAGGTTTTGGGGGGCATAAAGGGGCCTTGGGGGTGTTTCCTATTGCCCCCCGCTGCCCATCCCATAGATTCCATGAACATCCTGGATCCCGAGGATGAGGAGGAGCACACGCAGGAGGAGGACAGCAGCGGCAGCAATGAGGATGAGGATGACAGCCAGGATGAGGAGGAGGAGGAAGAGGAGGAAGATGAGGACGATCAGGTGGGGCAGTGGGGTTGGCTTGGGGTTTTTGACCCCTGGTTTGGGTCAAGATCCCCTCATTTTGGGGTCAGGGGCCCCCATTTCAGCTCCAGGGCTGCGATTTAGGGCCTGAGTACCCCTATTTTGGGGTCAAAATACCCTCGTTTTGGGCCAGGTCCCCCCGTTTCGGGTCTGGATACCCCTATTCTGGGTCAAGATCCCCCTGTTTTGGGTCAAGATCTCCCCATTTTGGGTCAAGATCTCCCCATTTTGGGTCATGATCTCCCCATTTTGGATCAAGATCCCCCCATTTTGGGTCAAGATTCCCTCATTTTGGGTCAAGATTCCCCCATTTTGGGTCAAGATCCCCCCATTTTGGGTCAAGATCCCCCCATTTTGGGTCACGATCCCCCCATTTTGGGTCACGATCCCCCCATTTTGGGTCAAGATCCCCCCATTTTGAGTCAAGATACCCCCATTTTAGGTCACGATCCCCCTATTTTGGGTCAAGATCCCCCTATTTTGGGTCAAGATCTCCCCATTATGAGTCAAGATCTCCCCATTTTGGGTCAAGATCTCCCCATTTTGGATCAAGATCTCCCCATTTTAGGACAAGATCTCCCCATTTTGAGTCAAGATCTCCCCATTTTGGGTCAGGCCATTTAACCCCCCCCTCCGGCCCTGGGGGCCGTTCCCCGCAGGACGACGAGGAAGGGGAGGAAGGGGAGGAGGAGGAGGACGACGACGACGGCTCCGAGATGGAGCTGGACGAGGACTATCCCGACATGAACGCCTCGCCCCTGGTGCGCTTCGAGCGCTTCGATCGCGACGATGACCTCATCATCGAGTTCGATAACATGTTCTCCAGCCCCAGTACGGCGGGGGGGGGCCGGGGGGGGGGGGGGTAAAAAGGGGTTCATCCCCCCCACTGCACGCACACCCCCCCCCCCCCCATTCTTCACCCTCATACCCAGCAGCATAGGGGTGTCAGGGTGCTTCTGCGCCCCCCCCCCCCATCATTCCTGATGCTCCGTATCCCCATCATTGGCATCCCATATCCCCCCATACTCCCTGTACCCTCCCATATCACCACCCTGTCCCCCCATATCTTCCCTATATCTGCCTCATTCTCCACCATATCCCCCCATATACTCCCCATATCCCCACCATTCCTCCCCCATATCCCCCCTACCCTCCCATATCCTCCATATCTCCCCATATCCTCCCCATATCCTCCCCATATCCCTTCATACCTTCCCATACCCCCCATATCCTCCCCATACCCCTCCATATCCCACCATACACCCCCATGTCCCCCCCTTATCCATTCCATACCCCACCATATCTCCCCATATCCCTCCCATTTCTCCCCCATATCCCCTCCATATCCCCTCCATACCCCCCATATCCTCCCCATACCCTCTCCCTATCCCCCCATATCCCCCAATACCCTCCCCATATCACCCAATATCCCCCCCATATCCCCCCATATACCCCCAATACCCTCCATACCCCCCATATCCCCCCAATACCCCCCCATATCCACCCCATACCCCCCCATATCCCCCCAATACCCCCTCATATCCACCCCATATCTGCCCCATACACCCCCATATCCCTTTGATACCCCCCCATATCCCCCCCTCCCTAACCCCCCTCCCCTTGCTCTCCCGCAGCCGACATCCCGCCGTCGCCGGGGAACATCCCCGCCAGCCACCCGCTCCTGGTTCGCCACGCCGAGCACGGGGCCCTGGCGCTGGGCACCGGCGCCGCCACCACGCGCCTGGCGCAGGGCCTGGGCCGCAGCCAGCGCACGCTGCGGCAGCTCACGGCCAACGCCGGCCACACCATCCACGTGCACTACCCCGGCGCCCGCCAGCCCAACCCGCCCCTCATCCTGCAGCGGTGAGTGCTGGACACAGCACCGACCCCATAGGGAACCCCATAGGGACCCCCAACCCGCCCCTCATCCTGCAGCGGTGAGTGCTGGACACAGCACCGACCCCATAGGGAGCCCCATAGGGACCCCCAACCCGCCCCTCATCCTGCAGTGGTGAGTGGTGGACACAGCACCGACCCCATAGGGACCCCCATAGGGACCTCCATAGGGACCCCCAACCCGCCCCTCATCCTGCAGCGGTGAGTGCTGGACACAGCACCGACCCCATAGGGAACCCCATAGAGATCCCCATAGGGACCCCCAACCCGCCCCTCATCCTGCAGCGGTGAGTGGTGGACACAGCACCGACCCCATAGGGAACCCCATAGGGACCTCCATAGGGACCCCCAACCCGCCCCTCATCCTGCAGCGGTGAGTGGTGGACACAGCACCGACACCATAGGGAACCCCATAGGGATCCCCATAGGGACCCTCAACCCGCCCCTCATCCTGCAGCGGTGAGTGGTGGACACAGCACCGACCCCATAGGTACCCCGATAGGGACCCCCAACCTGCCCCTCATCCTGCAGCAGTGAGTGGGGGTCACCCCATAGGGACCCCCAACCCGCCCCTCATCCTGCAGCGGTGAGTGGTGGACACAGCACCGACCCCATAGAGATCCCCATAGGGACCCCCAACCCGCCCCTCATCCTGCAGCGGTGAGTGATGGACACAGCACCGACCCCATAGGGACCCCATAGAGAACCCCATTGGGACCCCCATAGGGACCCCCAACCCGCCCCTCATCCTGCAGCGGTGAGTGGTGGACACAGCACCGACCCCATAGGGAACCCCATAGGGACCCCCAACCCGCCCCTCATCCTGCAGCGGTGAGCGGTGGACACAGCACCGACCCCATAGGGAACCCCATAGGGACCCCCAACCCGCCCCTCATCCTGCAGCGGTGAGTGGTGGACACAGCACCAACCCCATAGGGACCCCATAGAGAACCCCATTGGGACCCCCATAGGGACCTCCATAGGGACCCCCAACCTGCCCCTCATCCTGCAGCGGTGAGTGCTGGGCACAGCACCGACCCCATAGGGAACCCCATAGAGATCCCCATAGGGACCCCCAACCCGCCCCTCATCCTGCAGCGGTGAGTGGTGGACACAGCACCGACCCCATAGGGACCCCATAGAGAACCCCATTGGGACCCCCATAGGGACCCCCAACCTGCCCCTCATCCTGCAGCAGTGAGTGGGGGTCACCCCATAGGGAACCCCATAGAGAACCCCATTGGGACACCCAACCCCCCCTCATCCTGCAGCAGTGAGTGGGGGTCACCCCATAGGGACCCCCAACCCACCCCTCATCCTGCAGCAGTGAGTGGGGGTCACCACATAGGAACCCCCATAGAGAACCCCATTGGGACCCCCAACCCACCCCTCATTCTGCAGCAGTGAGCAATGGGGACCCAACCACCCCCCATCCTCTACCATTGAGCAATGACACCCCAACCCCCCCTTAGTTCCAAGTGAACCCCCTCTTCCCCCCCCCCCAGCACCCCCTGTATCCCCTTCCTTGCATCCCCCCCAACGCCCCCCCCCCCCTCCTCCCTAGCCCCATATCCCCCCCCCCGTCCCCTTCCATGTCCTGAGGCTTCCCGGCTCCCTCCCCGCAGGCTGCTGGGCCCCTCGGCCGCGGCCGACATCCTGCAGCTGAGCAGCAGCCTCCCGCTGCAGAGCCGGGGCCGGGCCCGGCTCCTGGTGGGCAATGAGGACGTGCACATCATCGCCCGCTCCGACGACGAGCTCCTCGATGACTTCTTCCATGAGCAGGGCAGCACCGGCAGCCAGGCAGGCGAGTAGGGGAGGGGGCGTGGTCAGATGGAGCCCTGAACCAATGGGATGCAGGGAAAGATGGGTTTGGAGGAAGGGGGTGTGGTCAAACACAGCCCTGGACCAATGGGATGCAGGGAAAGATGGGCTTGGAGGAAGGGGGTGTGGTCAAACACAGCCCTGGACCAATGGGATGCAGGGAAAGATGGGCTTGGAGGAAGGGGGTGTGGTCAAACACAGCCCTGGACCAATGGGATGCAGGGAAAGATGGGCTTGGAGGAAGGGGGTGTGGTCAAACACAGCCCTGAACCAATGGGATGCAGGGAAAGATGGGCTTGGAGGAAGGGGGTATGGTCAAACACAGCCCTGAACCAATGGGATGCAGGGAAAGATGGGTTTGGAGGAAGGGGGTGCGGTCAAACACAGCCCTGGACCAATGGGATGCAGGGAAAGATGGGCTTGGCGAAAAGGGGTGGAGCCTAAAGGGGTATGGTCTGGAAGGGGTGCGTGGTGAAAGGGACCCCTGAACCAATCGGATGCAGGGACAGATGGGCTTGGAGAAAGGAGGGCGGGGCTTAGGGGAAAGGGGAGGAGCCGGACGGGGGCGTGGTCTGGAAGGGGGCACGGTCAAAACCAGTCCTAAACCAATGGGATGCAGGGGAAGGGGGTGGAGCTTGGAGGAAGGGGGTGTGGTCAAAAGCAGCCGTGGACAAATCGGATGCAGGAAAAGATGGGCTTGGAGGTAAGGGGTGGGACCAAAGGGGGCGTGGTCTGGGAGGGGGCGTGGTCAAACGCAGCCTTGAACCAATGGGATGCAGGGAGAGAGAGTGGACTTGCAGGAAAGGCGATGGTCTGTAAAGGGGGCGTGGTCAGAGGCACCCCATAAACCAATGGGATGCAGGGAAAGAGGATTGGGACCTATATAAAGGGGTGTGGTTTGAGGGGGCGTGGTCACACACAGCCCAAACCAATAGGATGCAGGGATAGAAATTATCTGGAGGGAAGGGGGTGTGGTCTAATGGGTGGTTTATGCAGGAGGTGGAGCCACACGCCCCCATCTAACCAATAGGGTGCAGGGATAGCGGAGTGGGCGTGGCTTGATCCACGGGTGCATGGCCTGGCCGAGGGGCTCACCCATCTCCCCCCATGCCCTACAGGGACCCTCTCCAGCATCCCCACGGCCCTGACGCGCTGGACCGAGGAGTGCAAGGTGCTGGATGCTGAGAGCATGCACGACTGTGTCTCGGGTGAGCCCCCCCGGCCCCAGTGGCCCCATTGCCCCCACAGCATCCCCCATGGGTCCCCCAAACCACCCTCACCATCACCCCTCTATTCCCAGCACCACCAACACCCAGCTGGGGATCCCACCAGTACCATTAGGAGGGTCCCCAATACCCCCCCACTGTCCCTCATGTGTCCCCTAAACTTATCACCACCATCACCATCGCCTCTCTATTCCCACCAACAACCAGGTGGGGATCCCGCCAGTACCATTAGTAGGGTCCCTATGGTGTCCCCACCACTGTGGGGTCCCCAATACCCCTCCCATTCACCTCCATGTATCCCCCAAACCAGCATCACCTTCACCGCCCTATTCCCAGCACCACCAGCACCCAGCTAAGGATCCCTCCAGTACCATTAGCAGGGTCCCCATGATGTCCCCACCACTGTGGGGGTCCCCAATACCCCTCATTGTCCCCAGTGGCTCCCCTAAACCTCCATCCCCATCACCCCTCTATTCCCACAGCATCCCCCATGGATCCCCCAAACCTCCATCACCATCACCACCCTATTCCCAGCACCACCAGCACCCAGCTGGGGATCCCTCCAGTACCATTAGCAGGGTCCCCATGATGTCCCCACCACTGTGGGGGTCCCTAATACCCCTTATTGTCCCCAGTGGCTCCCCTAAACCTCCATCACCATCACCCCTCTATTCCCACAGCATCCCCCCTGGATCCCCCAAACCTCCATCACCATCACCACCCTATTCCCACCGCCACCAGCACCCAGCTGGGGATCCCTCCAGTACCATTAGCAGGGTCCCCAATACCCCCCATTGTCCCCCCAAACCACAATCCCCATCAGCATCCCGACACCCCCACACCAGCAGTAACCAGCAGCACCACCTCCCCGTACCCTCAGCACCCCCACATCCCATCCAGCTCCATCACCTGGTGCTCTCTGCATCCCCACGCGGTCCCCAAACCTCCCCCCCACCTCAACCACTCACCCAGGGACCCTTCCACCTCCATCACTTTGGTGCTCTCGGGGTCCCCGCACCCCTCTGTGTGTCCCAGCACCCCCAAACCCCCCTCCCCTCTTCGTGTCCCCCCCCCCAGTGGTGAAGGTCCCCATCCTGGCCCGCCTCGAAGCGCTGCGGGACGAGGAGCTGGACGAGCGGCGCGAGAAGCGCCGGCGCCAAGCGGCCGAGGAGGAAGCCAAAGGCACCGAGCGGGGGGGCCCTGAGGACAAGGAAGGGGCTGACACCCAGGTGAGGGGCTCCTAAACCATCCCACACCCCCTTATACCCATTGGGGGGGGGGGGGGTCCCTTTTTACACCCCCCCCTTCCACCTCCTATCTCCATCACCTACAGGACGTGGCCTCCAAAGCCGCCACCGCCGCCGCCGACGTCACCCCCCCAGGTAACTCCTTCCATTCATTCCCAATGTATCCGGATGACTTCCCCCCCCAATCCCAAATCCCTGTTCCCCCCCCCCCTTTAATCCCCTTGACCTGGCACCCCGCGGGTTGAGGTAGTAGATTGTATAGTTGGAGGGTCACACCCCCGTCTCGGAGATAACTATACAGTCTACTGTCTTCCTCGCGGGGCGCGCGCCCGCCGCCGGAGCACGGGGCCCCCCCTTGGGCTTTGGGGGGGGGGTCACACATCAATGGGGTGGGGGGGGGCTCTGGAGCATCCCTTCCCCTACCCCAGTATCCCTAGGATCCAGTTGGATGTTGAGAATGGTGGGGGGGGATGTTGGAGCATCCTTTTGCCTATCCCAGTATCCCAAGGATCCAGTTGGATGTTGAGAATGGGGGCGGGGGGGGGGGGGGGTGTGGTGTTGGAGCATCCTTTCCCCTACCCCAGTATCCCTAGGATCCAGTTGGATGTCGAGAATGGGGGTGGTTTGGATATGGGGGGGGCCTTTGGAGCATCCCTACCCCAGTATCCCCAGAGGGTGATGATGGGGGTGGTTTGGATGGCGGGGGGGGGGTGGGTTCTGGAGCATCCCTACCTCAGTATCCCAAGAGGTTGATGATTGGGGGGGGGGCATAATGTGGTGCTGGGAGGGTTGCCTCAGATTCCTCCCCCCCCATCTTGTTTTGGGTCTGTATGGCCCAAATTGGGGAGAGGATGTGTTATTGGGGGGGGGGTGTCCCATAAAGCTCTATGGATATCCCTGACATTGATCCCTATACGTGTGTGTGTCCCCCCCCCATCCCAGAACACAGCGGGACAACGGGAGAGACCCCCCCTCCCGGTCCCCACCGGACATTGGTGATGTTGGAACCGACGCCGACCCCCCCAGATCCTCCTTCGGGAGGAGCCCCCCAAATTCCCACTCGCCCCCCCCAACCCCCTGACCATGAAGAGGGGGGACCCGGGCGACCCCCCCAGGATGCTGAAGCCACTCAAATGGAGCTGTCACCCGCTCCCACCATCAGTAAGTCCTTGGGTTTAGGGGGATGATCTCTGGGTTTTGGGGGTGTCCTCGATTTGGGGGGGGTCTCTTTACGTTGGGGGGGTCTCTATTCATGTATCCCCCCCTGTTTTCCCCCTTAGCATCACTGTCCCCAGAGCGAGCGGAGGACTCGGATGCTCTGACGGCCGTGAGCAGCCAACTGGAAGGATCCCCCATGGACACCTCGAGTTTGGCTTCTTGTACCTTGGAAGAGTCAGGGGGGGCCCCCCCTCCTCCAGCAGCCCCCCAAAATCCCCCCGGCACCCCCCAAGGACCACCCCCGGCTCCCCCTGACACTGCTCAGCCCCCTGATGACAGGTAAAGAGCCTTCCTATGGGAAGTAAAGGCGGGGGGTATAGGGTTGGGGTGCCCCAGAGCTGATGTTGTGTCCCCCCAACTTTCTCATCCCCAAGCTCGCCCCCGGCCTCGTCCTCGGAGAGTTCCTCCACCCGGGATTCAGCCGTGGCCATTTCGGGAGCCGATTCCCGAGGGATCCTGGAGGAGCCGCTGCCGTCCACCAGCAGCGAGGAGGAGGACCCCCTGGCCGGTCAGTGCCCCCCACCCCATGGCACATCCCATGTGTATCCCATAGGGAAGGGGTGGATGCTGTGCCCACCTGCCCCATGGCACATCCCATGTGTATTCCATAGGGAAGGGGTGGGTCCTGTGCCCCCCACCCCATGGCACATCCCATGTGTATCCCATAGGGAAGGGGTGGATCCTGTGTCCGCCTGCCCCATGGCACATCCCATGTGTATCCCATAGGGAAGGGGTGGATCCTGTGCCCCCCCACCCCATAGCATATCCCATGTGTATCCCATAGGGATCAGCCTGCCGGAAGGGGTGGATTCTGTGTCCCCCCACCCCATGGCACATCCCATGTGTATCCCATAGGGATCAGCCTGCCAGAAGGGGTGGATCCTGTGTCCCCCCACCCCATGGCACATCCCATGTGTATCCCATAGGGATCAGCCTGCCGGAAGGGGTGGATCCTGTGCCCCCCCACCCCATAGCACATCCCATGTGTATCCCATAGGGATCAGCCTGCCGGAAGGGGTGGATCCTGTGTCCCCCCACCCCATGGCACATCCCATGTGTATCCCATAGGGATCAGCCTGCCGGAAGGGGTGGATCCTGTGCCCCCCCACCCCATGGCACATCCCATGTGTATCCCATAGGGATCAGCCTGCCGGAAGGGGTGGATCCTGTGCCCCCCCACCCCATGGCACATCCCATGTGTATCCCATAGGGATCAGCCTGCCGGAACGGGTGGATCCTGTGTCTCCCCACCCCATAGCACATCCCATGTGTATCCCATAGGGATCAGCCTGCCGGAAGGGGTGGATCCTGTGTCTCCCCACCCCATAGCACATCCCATGTGTATCCCATAGGGATCAGCCTGCCGGAAGGGGTGGATCCATCGTTCCTGGCGGCGCTGCCGGATGACATCCGCCGGGAAGTGCTGCAGAACCAGCTGGGGATCCGGCCCCCCGCCCGGGCCCCGCCCACCCCAAGCCCCGCCCCCCCGGTCGTGGCCAATCCCGGCCTGACCGAGGTCAGCCCCGAGTTCCTGGCAGCTCTACCCCCGGCCATACAGGAGGAGGTGGGCGGGGCGTCGGGAAAAGGGGGCGGGGCTACGGGGGAGTATGAAAGGGGATTGGTGGGTGTCAGGGGTGGGGCCTGCGGGAGGGGTGTGGTTAAGGGGAAGGGGCAGGGCTATGCGGGGGCCACGAAAGGGGATTGGTTGGTGTGGCCAAGGGGAATGAGTAGGGCTTCACGTCTAGGGCGGGGCCTAAATGAGGATGAGGTTAAGGGGGTGTGGCCTATTCTAGGGGTGGAGCTTATATAGGGCGTGGGATTTATCCAGAGATTTAGCTTATACAAAAAGGGTGGTGCTTACAGGGGGTGGAGCTTATTCAAAGGGGCGGGGCTTTTATGAAAGGATGGGGCACCTACGCAAAGGGGCGGAGCTTATACAAAGGGGCATGGCTTGTGTTAAAGGATGGGGCTTAAAGGGGTGGAGCTTATTTAGGGGTGGAGCTTGTGTGAAAGGAGAGGGCTTGAGTGGAGTTTATACGAAGGGATGGGGCTTATGTTAAAGGATGGTGCTTAAAGGGGTGGAGCTTATACACAGGGGCGGGGTTTACGATAAAGGATGGGGCTTAAAGGGGTGGAGCTTATACACAGGGGCGGGGTTTACGAGAAAGGATGGGGCTTAAAGGGGTGGAGTTTATTCAAAGGGGTGGGGCTTAGAAATGATGGGGCCTAAAAAAGATGGAGCTTATTCAAAGGGATGGGGCTTAAAGGGGTGGAGCTTATTCAAAGGGGCGTGGCTTGTATTAAAGGGTGGGGCTTAATCAAGGAGGTGGGGCTTAACGCCCATGTCTTGAGCCTACCCATAGGGCGTGGCCTATTGGGGGGGGGGCGTGGCCTCCGGAGGGCCCCATCCTGAGCCGCCTCCCTGCCGCAGGTGCTGGCCCAGCAGCGCGCGGAGCAGCAGCGCCGGGAGCTGGCGCAGGCCACGAGCTCGGACGCGCCCATGGACCCGGTGACGTTCATCCAGACGCTGCCGTCGGAGCTGCGGCGCTCGGTGCTCGAGGACATGGAGGACAGCGTCCTGGCCGTCATGCCCCCGGACATCGCCGCCGAGGCGCAGGCGCTGCGCCGCGAGCAGGAGGCCCGCCAGCGCCAGCTCATGCACGAGAGGCTCTTCGGCCACTCCAGCACCTCCGCGCTCTCCGCCATCCTGCGCAGCCCCGGTGAGGAGGCACCGCTGGGCACGGACACCCCCGTTCCCCCCTCATTCCCCCCTCATTCCCCTCTCATTGCCCTCTCATTCCCCCCATTCTCCCTCCTGTTCCCCTCCCATTCCCTCTCCCATTCCCCCCCCCCATTTCCCCTCCCATTCCCCTCCTATTTCCCCTCCCATTCCCCTCCTATTTCCCCCTATTCCCCTCCCATTCCCTCTCCTATTCCCCCCCCATTACCCCCCTTCCCCCTCCCATTCCCCCCCATTCCCCCCCATTCCCCCTCTTATTCCCCCCCATTTCCCCTCCCATTCCCCCCCATTTCCCCTCACATTCTCCCCCATTCACCCCATTCCCAATCCTCCCAATTCACATTCCCCTCCAATCCCCCCTACTCCCATTCCCATTCCCCCCATTCCCAATCTCCCCTTTTCCTATTCCCATTCCCCCCCCATTCCCGTTCCCCATTCCCCCCAATCCCATCCCCCCCATTTCCCCCAATCCCATTCCCCCCATTCCCATTCCCCCCCCATTCCCCATTCCCCCCATTCCCCCTCTTCCCATTCCTCCCATTCCCATCCCCATTCCCATTCCCCTCATTCCCATCCCCCCCATTCCCATCCCCCCCATTCCCATCCCCCCCATTTCCATCCCATCCCCATTCCCCCCATTCCCCCATTCCCATCCCCCCCATTCCCATTCCCCCATTCCCATCCCCCCCCATTCCCCATCCCCATTCCCATTCCCCATTCCCATTCCCCATTCCCATTCCCCATCCCCATTCCCCATCCCCATTCCCCATCCCCATTCCCATTCCCATCCCCATTCCCCTGCCGTTCCCGCTGACTGCCATGTCCCCGCAGCGTTCACGAGCCGCCTGAGCGGGAGCCGGGGGGTGCAGTACACGCGCCTGGCGGTGCAGCGCGGGGGCACCTTCCACATGGGCGGCACCGCCGGGCACAGCAGGTACGGGGTGGGGGCACCAAACTGGGGCTGAATTCGAACCTGGTTGGAGCTGGGTTTGGGCTGGGTTTGAGCCTGATTTGAGCTGGGTTTGAACCTGATTTGAGCCTGATTTGATCTGGATTTGAGCCTGATTTGGTCTGGATTTGAGCCTGATTTCAACCTGATGTGATCAGGATTTGAGCTGGGTTTGAACCTGATTTGATCCAGATTTGAGTTGGGTTTGATTTGGATTTGAGCTGGGTTTGAACCTGATTTGATCCAGATTTGAGTTGGGTTTGATCCGGATTTGATCTGGGTTTGAACCTGATTTGATCCAGATTTGAGTTGGGTTTGATCCGGATTTGAGCTGGGTTTGAACCTGATTTGATCCAGATTTGAGTTGGGTTTGATCCAGATTTGAGCTGGGTTTTAGCCTGACTTGATCCAGATTTGAGCTGGGTTTCAACCTGACTTGATCCGGATTTCAGCTGGGTTTGAGCCTGATTTGGGCTGGGTTTGAGCTGGGTTTGAGCCTGATTTGGGCTGGGTTTGAGCTTGATTTGAACCTGATTTGATCTGGGTTTGATCCTGCTTTGAGCCGGGTTTGATCTAGGATTGATCCTGATTTGAAGCTGATTTGAGCTGGGTTTGATCCTGATTTGAGCTGGGCTTGATCCTGATTTGAACCTGGTTTGAGCCGGGTTTGATGCTGATTTGAGCTGGGTTTGATCCTGATTTGAGCTGGGCTTGATCCTGATTTGAACCTGATTTGAGCTGGGTTTGAGCCGGGTTTGATGCTGATTTGAAGCTGATTTGAGCTGGGTTTGATGCTCATTTGACCCTGATTTGGTCTGGGCTTGAACCTGATCTGATCCAGGCTTGATCCAGCTTCAATCCTTCTTCCCTCCCCATTCTCCCCCTCCCATTTCAGACCCTCAACCGGCAACGTGGACAACCTGCTGCGCCTGCGCGGGCGCCTGCTCCTGGACCACGAAGCCCTCTCGTGCCTCCTGGTGCTGCTCTTCGTGGACGAGCCCAAGCTGAACACGAGCCGCCTGCACCGCGTCCTGCGCAACCTCTGCTACCACGCGGCCACGCGGGGCTGGGTGGTGCGGAGCCTCCTCTCCATCCTGCAGCGCAGCAGCGAGAGCGAGCTCTGCCTCGAGGCCCCCCGCGCCCCACCGGCACCGGAGGAGCGCCCGCGCCGCGCACGAGCCCCCCCTCCCAGCAGCACCGCCGCCACCACCACCACCACCGGTACCACCACCACCACCACCGGTACCACCGAACCCCGCGCTCTCGACCTCCTGCACCGCGTGGAAGCTCGCAGCTCCGGGCAGCTCTCGTGGCTCTCCGTCTCCATGGATGCGGCGTTGGGATGCAGGACCAACATCTTCCAGATCCAAAGGGTGCCCGGCAGGAAGCACACGGAGAAACACGGTGGAGGCAGCGGCGGCGCCGCCGCCGGCTCCGCCGTCCACATCCACCCGCAGGCAGCGCCCGTCGTGTGCCGGCACGTCCTGGACACCCTCATCCAGCTGGCCAAGGTGAACGGAGGGGGGGTCTGGGGGGTGTAAAGGGTCCCTGATGGGGTTGGGGGGTCTCTGGGGCATGGTATGGGGTGTACAGAGGGTCCCTGATGGGGTTGGGGGGGGGGTCTAGGGCATGGTATGGGATGCATCAAGGGTCCTTCATGGGGTTGGGGGGGGCTGGGGTGCATAAAGGGTCCCTGATGGGGTCTGGGGGTGCATAAAGGGTCCCTGATGGGGTCTGGGGGGGCATAAAGGGTACCTGATGGGGATCAGGGTGTCCAGGGCGTGGTATGGGGGTATAAAGGGTCCCTGATGGGGTCTGGGGGGGCATAAAGGGTACCTGATGGGGTTCGGGGTGTCCAGGGCGTGGACAGGGTATAAAGGGTCCCTGATGGGGTCTGGGGGGGCATAAAGGGTACCTGATGGGGATCGGGGTGTCCAGGGCGTGGTATGGGGGTATAAAGGGTCCCTGATGGGGTTGGGGGGGTCTGGGGTGTGTTATGGGGTGCATGAAGGGTCCCTGATGGGGTTGGGGAGGTCCAGGGAGTGGTATGGGGTGTATAAAGGGTCCTTGATGGGGTTGAGGGGGTTTGGGATGTGTTATGGGGTGCATGAAAGGTCCCTGATGGGGTTGAGGGGCTCTGGGGCATGGTATGGGGTGTATAAAGAGTCCTTGATGGGGTTGGGGAGTCTGGGGTGCACTTTAGGTGGGGGCAGTCCCCAAAGCAGAAGTGGGGCCCCCCAAACCCCACACTGAGCTCCTTGGGGGTGCCTGGGGGACACTGTGTGTGTGTGTGTGGGGGTGGTTGCTATGGTTGCATTTGGGGGGGAAGGGGGGGTCACCACCCCCCTGCCCACCCTCCCCCCCCTCCCTTTTCCAGGTCTTTCCCAGCCACTTCACCCAGCAGCGGGGCCGGGATCCCAGCACGGAGCCGGAGCGGGAACGCGGCCCCCCCAAATCCGGGGGCAGCCCCTGCCCCCCCCCTCCTCCTCCTCCTCCTCCTCCTCCTCCTCCTCCTCCCCCACTTCCCCCCCTCCCTTCCCAAGCCCCTCCCGCCCCCCCACCCCCTCCCCCTTCTGCCGGGGCCCCTCCCCCAGCCCTGCCCCCTCCCCCCCCCCCCCCTTCCGGCAGCCTTTCCACCGATTTCTGGGACCTCTTGGTGAAGTTGGATAACATGAACGTGAGCCGGAAAGGGAAGAGCTCGGCCAAAACGGGCGCCGGGGGTGGGGGGCCGGAGCCCGAGGCCACGGGGATGGGCTTGGAAGCGTCGCCCTTGGGCCAGCTCATGAACATGCTGTCCCACGGCGTCATCCGCCGCAGCGCCCTCCTCACCGAGAAGCTGCTCCGGCTCCTGTCCCTCATCTCCATCGCTCTTCCCGAAGGTGGGAAAGGGGCTGAGGGGGGGGCAGGAGCCCCCCAAAACGCCCCCGCCGCAACGGGAGCCGGGGCGGCTCCGGGGAGTCCGGCGGCACAGAGCGGGAACGCCGGGAACGCGGCGGCGGGAGGGGGAGCTGCGGCTGGGGGTGAGAGAGAGGGGATATGGGGGGGATGGAGGTGGGGTACGGGTGGGGATATGGGTGGGGATGGAGAGATATGGATGGGGATGGAAGGATGGGAATGGGGATGGGGATATGGAGGGATGGAGATAGGGATATGGATGGGGATGGAAGGATGGGAATGGGGATGGGGATATGGATGGGGATATGGAGGGATGGAGATAGGGATATGGGTAGGGATGGAGAGATATGGATGGGGATGGAAGGATGGGAATGGGGATGGGGATATGGATGGGGATATGGAGGGATGGAGATAGGGATATGGGTGGGGATTGAGGGAGATGGATGGGGATGGAAGGATGGGAATGGGGGTGGGGATATGGATGGGGATATGGAGGGATGGAGATAGGGATATGGGTGGGGATTGAGAGAGATGGATGGGGATGGAAGAATGGGAATGGGGATGGGGATATGGAGGGATGGAGATAGGGATATGGGTGGGGATTGAGAGAGATGGATGGGGATGGAAGGATGGGAATGGGGATGGGGATATGGAGGAATGGAGATAGGGATATGGGTGGGGATTGAGAGAGATGGATGGGGATATGGGTGGGGATGGAGGGATATGGGTGGGATGGAGGGATGGGGAGAGGTATGGGGATACGGGTGGGGATGGAGGGACATGGGTGGGAATGGGGATATGGATGGGGATGGAGGGGTGGGGATATGGGTGGGGATGGAGGAACATGGATGTGAATGGGGATATGGGTGGGATACGGATGGGAAGGGAGGGGTGTGGATGGGGATAGGAATGGGGATATGGATGGGGATGGAGGAATGTGGATGGGGATATGGGGCTAAGGACATGGGACATGGGTGGAGGTGCCGTGATGGGGACATGAGACCAGGGATAGGGACATGGGTGGGAATGGGAGGATGGGGATGGGGACAGAGGAGTTAGGAACATGGGGATGGAGGCATGGATGGGGGACAGGGCTGGGGATGCAGATGTAAATGGGACATTGGGATAGGGTTGTGGACCAGGACATGGGGATGGATGGGGACATGGGGGTATGGGCAGAGGTGCCACCCTCCCCTCACCACCCCCATCCCCCCACCCCCCCTTGTCCCCAGCCTCCTCCAAGAGCTCCAAGTCACCAGCGAAGGGCCCCGAGAGCAGCCCTGACCCCCGGATGGCGGCCACGGGGCTGACCGAGAGCCAGCTCCAGCTCTCGGTGGAGGTGAGCACCCCCCCGGCCCCCCCCAACCCCCTCCACCCCCCATGTCCTATCCCCCCCCCCCCCCATACACATCCCCTGTCACCCACAGGTGCTGACGTCCCACTCGTGCTCCGAGGAGGGGCTGGAGGACGCGGCCAACGTCCTGCTCCAGCTCTCGCGCGGCGACGCCGGCACCAGGGACACGGTTCTGCGCCTGCTGCTCACCGGCGCCCGGCACCTCGGGGCCACCCTGTGCCGCCAGATCGGTGAGGCCATGGCCGCGGTGGTGGGGGGGTGGTTGGAGGGGGGTGGTACCGTTGGGTGTCATCCCCATGCCGGTGACACCGCGGGGCCGTGCCCGGTGCAGGGACGCTGCTGGCCGAGCTGAGGGAATACAACCTGGAGCAGCAGCGGCGGGCGCAGAGCGAGGCCCCGTCCCCCGAGGGGCTCCCCGAGGAGCAGCCACCCAGCGCCAAGCTCAAGGGCAAGATGCAGAGCCGGTGAGATGGGGACACCCCCCCCAGCACACACACACACCCCCCACTGTTCATTGTGGGCCCTCCTGGTAACTGTAGTGGGTGCTGTTAACCCGTGTCCCTACTGAGCGCAACCCTCACTGCTCCTGTTAACCCTTGTCCCTACTGAGCACAACCCTCATTGCTCCCGTTAACCCATGTCCCTACTGATGCCAACCCTCACTGCTCCCGTTAACCCATGTCCCTACTGATGTCAACCCTCACTGCTCCCGTTAACCCATGTCCCTACTGAGCACAACCCTCATTGCTCCCGTTAACCCTTGTTCCTATTGAGCACAACCCTCACTGCTCCCGTTAACCCTTGTTCCTATTGAGCACAACCCTCATTGCTCCCGTTAACCCTTGTTCCTATTGAGCACAACCCTCATTGCTCCTGTTAACCCGTGTCCCTACTGAGCACAACCCTCATTGCTCCTGTTAACCCGTGTCCCTACTGAGCACAACCCTCATTGCTCCTGTTAACCCGTGTCCCTACTGAGCACAACCCTCATTGCTCCTGTTAACCTGTGTCCCTACTGAGCACAACCCTCATTGCTCCCATTAACCCATGTCCCTACCGAGCACAACCCTCACTGCTCCCGTTAACCCATGTCCCTACCGAGCACAACCCTCACTGCTCCCGTTAACCCGTGTCCCTACTGAGCACAACCCTCATTGCTCCCGTTAACCCATGTCCCTACTGAGCACAACCCTCACTGCTCCCGTTAACCCTTGTTCCTATTGAGCACAACCCTCATTGCTCCCGTTAACCCGTGTCCCTACTGAGCACAACCCTCATTGCTCCCGTTAACCCATGTCCCTACTGAGCACAGCCCTCATTGCTCCCGTTAACCCGTGTCCCTACTGAGCACAACCCTCATTGCTCCTGTTAACCTGTGTCCCTACTGAGCACAACCCTCATTGCTCCCGTTAACCCATGTCCCTACTGAGCACAACCCTCATTGCTCCCGTTAACCCATGTCCCTACTGAGCACAACCCTCATTGCTCCCGTTAACCCATGTCCCTACTGAGCACAACCCTCATTGCTCCCGTTAAACCATGTCCCTACTGAGCACAACCCTCATTGCTCCTGTTAACCCATGTCCCTACTGAGCACAAGCCTCATTGCTCCCGTTAACCCATGTCCCTACTGAGCACAACCCTCATTGCTCCCGTTAACCCGTGTCCCTACTGAGCACAACCCTCATTGCTCCGTTTAGCCCATGTCCCTACTGAGCACAACCCTCATTGCTCCCGTTAACCCATGTCCCTACTGAGCACAACCCTCATTGCTCCGTTTAACCCATGTCCCTACTGATGCCAACCCTTGTTCCTGCCTTTGACCCTTGCCCTATTGACAACCCTTGTGTCTCCTGTTAACCCTTGACCCTACTGATGCCAGCCCTTGTTCCCCTTGTTAATCCTTGTCCCTATTGATGCCAACCCTTGTTCCTCCTGTTAACCCATGTCCCTACTGATGCCAACCCTTGTTCCTCCTGTTAACCCTTGCCCCTACCGATGCCCTTTGCCCATATTGATGCCAACCTTGTACCTCCCGTTAACCCTTGTCCCTATTGATGCCAACCCTTGTTCCTGCCGTTAACCCTTGTCCCTATTGATGCCAACCCTTGTTCCTCCCGTAAACCCTTGTCCCTATTGATGCCAACCCTTGTTCCTGCCGTTAACCCTTGGCCCTACTGACAACCTGCGTCTCCTGTTAACCCTTCCCCTACCGATGCCCTCTGTCCCTACCGATGCCAACCTTGTTCCTCCCGTTAACCCATGCCCCTACTGATGCCAACCCTTGTTCCTGCCATTGACCCATGTCTCTACTGATGCCAACCCTTGTTCCTCCCGTTAACCCATGTCCCTACTGATGCCAACCCTTGTTCCTGCCATTAACCCTTGCCCCTACTGACAACCTGTGTCTCCTGTTAACCCTTGCCCCTACCGATGCCCTTTGCCCATATTGATGCCAACCTTGTTCCTCCCATTAACCCTTGTCCCTACTGATGTCAACCCTTGTTCCTGACATTGACCCATGCCCCTACTGACACCAACCTCTCCCCCCACCTCCACCCTGTTCCCTCCAGGTTCGACACAGCCGAGAGCGTGGTGATCGTGGCGTCGCAGAAGCGGGCGCTGGGCGGGCGGGAGCTGCAGCTGCCCTCCATGTCCGTGCTCACCTCCAAGACGTCCACGCAGCGCTTCTTCCTCCGCGTGCTGCAGGTCATCATCCAGCTGCGCGACGACACGCGCCGGGCGCACAAGAAGGCCAAGCAGGCCGGGCGCCTGGGTAAGGCCCCGTCCCTCGCCCCATTGAGCTCCTTTGCACCCCACTTCGTGTGCCCCTCACGCAGCCTTTTCTCTTTCTCTCCCTCTCTCTGTCCGTGTCGCCCACGCCGCAGGCGCCGGGGGCCTCGGGGCGGCTGGCAGCATCCAAGCAGCCGTCCGGCAGCTGGAGGCCGAGGCCGACGCCATCATACAAATGGTACGTGAGGGCGGCAGCAGGTGCACACGGGTAGCACGGCCGCCCTTCCTCCTTCCGCCGCCTCCTCCTCCTCCTCTCTGCCGCCTTAGGGTTCTCTTCCTCTTCGCCCTCCTCCTTTGCCTCTGCCTCATCCGCCTGCCTCTTCCTCCTCTGCTTCCTCTTCCTCCTCTGCTTCCTCTTCCTCCTCTGCTTCCTTTTCCTCCTCTTCCTTCTTACTCTTTTCTTCCTCCTCACCCGCTTCCTTCACGCTCCTCCTCCTCCTTTTCCTCCTCCCTCTCTCCCCCCACTCCCCTCTTCCTGCTCCTTCTCTCCCTCCTTTCTTTACCCTCCTTTTCCTCCTCCTTTTCCTTTTCCTCTGCCTCCTCCTCCTCCTCATTCCCTCTTCCTCCTCCTCCTCTGCTTCCTCTTCCTCTGCCTTATTCTTTTCTTCTTCCTCACCCCCTTCCTTCACACTCCTCCTCTTTTTCCTCCTCCCTCTCCTCTTCCTGCTCCTTCTCTCCCTCCTTCCTTCACCCTCCTCTTCCTCCTTCTCCTTTTCCTCTTCCTCCTCCTCTGCTTCCTCTTCCTCCTCTGCTTCCTCTTCCTCCTCTGCTTCCTCTTCCTCCTCTGCTTCCTCTTCCTCCTCTGCTTCCTCTTCCTCCTCTTTCTCTGCCTTCTTACTCTTTTCTTCCTCCTTGCCCTCTTCCTTCACCCTCCTCCTTTTCCTCCTCTGCTTCCTCCCTCTCTTCCCTCACTCCCCTCTTCCTGCTCCTCCTCTCCCTCCTTCCTTCACCCTCCTTCCTTCACCCTCCTCTTCCTTCTCCTCCTCCTTTTCGTCTTCCTCATCCACCTGCCTCCTTCTCCTCATTCCCTCTTCTCCTTTTCCGCCTCTTCTGCCTTCTCCCTGTCTTCCTTCACCCTCCTCTTCCTCCTCCTTCTCTTCCTTTTCTTCCTCCTCATTCTCTCTCCTTTTTCCTACTCTTCCTTTTCTTCCTCCTCCTCTTCTTCCTCTTCCTCCCCCTTTTCCCCCTTTTCCTCCCCCTTCCTCCTCCTTCCTTTCCTCCTCCTTCTCTTCCTTCACCCTCCTCTTCCTCCTCTCCTTCTCCCTTTTCTTCTTCCTTTTCTTCCTTTTCCTCCCCCTCGTTTTCCTCCTCATTCTCTTCCTCTTTCTTCCTCCTTTTCTTTCTCCTCCTCTTCTTCCTGCTTCTCTTCCTCTTCCTCCTCATTCTCTTTTTCCTTTTCCCTCTTCTTCCTTTTCTTCCTCCTTCTCCTCTCCACTTTTCTCTGTTCCCTCCTGCTCTTCCTCCTCTTCCCCCCCTCTCACCCTTCCTCTTCCTCCCCCTTTTACCCTCCTCCTCCTCCCATCCCATTCCTGCTTCTCTTCCTCTCCAAGCCCTCCATGGGGGGGGGGGCGGTATTTGGGCTCCATGGGGGGGTCCCGTCCCCCTAAACCTGCTCCTGCCCCCCTGCAGTCGGAGGCTGGGCCTGCGGACGCCGCTCCCCGTCGGGATGAATCCCCCATGGATGTGGATCAGCCGTCGCCAGCCCCCCAGGACAACCCCTCCGTGGGTGAGAGACCCCCCAGTGCACCTCAGTGCATCCCAGTGCCCCTCCCAGTGCAACCCAGTGCATCCCAGTGCCCCTCAGTGCATCCCAGTGCCCCTCCCAGTGCAACCCAGTGCATCCCAGTGCCCCTCAGTGCATCCCAGGGACCCCCCCAGTGCATCCCAGTGCCCCTCAGTGCATCCCAGGGACCCCCCCAGTGCATCCCAGTGCCCCTCAGTGCAACCCAGTGCATCCTAGTACATCCCAATGCATCCCAGTGTCCCCCCCGTGCATCCCAGTGTCCCCCCCGTGCAACCCAGTGCATCCCATTGCTGCAACCCAGTGCCCCCCCAGTGCATTCCAGTGCATCCCATTGCTCCCCCCCAGTGCAACCCAGTGCCATCCCAGTGCAACCCAGTGCTCCCTATTGCATCCCAGTGCAACCCAGTGCCCCTCAATGCAAGCCAGTGCCCCCCATTGCACCCCAGTGCCCCCCAGTGCATCCCAATGCCCCCATTGCACCCCAATGCCCCCCAGTGCATCCCAATGCCCCCATTGCACCCCAGTGCATCCCAGTGCCCACCTCCCCATTGCACCCCAATGCCCCAGACTCCCCATCCCGATGCCTCCCACTCCGTGCCTGGCTCCATCCTGGCGCTCCTCCCATTGGATCCCAGTTGGGAAGCGGCCGAACTGGACCACAATTGGGGTGGTGGTGGTGGTGGGGAGGGGGGGGGTGATGATGATGGGGAAGGGTCCTGACTGTGTCACCCCCCCCCCCCCCATCATCCCCACAGGCTCGGAGGGGCCGGAGCGGGACGAGCGGCCCCCGGAGCTGCCCCTGCTGAGCGAGCAGCTCTGCCTGGACGAGCTCTGGGATATGCTGGGGGAGTGCCTCAAGGAGCTCGAGGAGTCCCACGACCAGCACGCCGTGCTCGGTGGGTCTATGGGGTGGGGGGGAGCGCTATGGGGTGATGGGGGGGGGGGGGGCACAGGGCCCTCTGGGTACCCCCTGCCCCCAGCATCCTGTCCCAAGCAGGGTGATGGCTCTGCAGCATCCATGCCACATCCCCCCTCCACCACCACCACCATGGGGTTGGGGTGCCCCTCATACCCCCTGTATTCCCCCCCGCCCTTAGTGATGGAGACCCCTGGTACTTTAGGGGGTCCCCAAGCCCCCCCCCCCCCCACCTTGGGAAGGGGTTTGGGGGGGGGGGGTTTAGAGGGGATTTGGGGTTGTTTGGGGCTGTTGAAATGCATCCATCCCCCATACCCAGCCCTGTCCCAAGCAGGATGATCCCCCCCTCCCAATTCCTGGGGTCCCCTTTATACCCATTACCCCCCTCTCTCCATGCCCCCCCCATTCCCATGGTCCCTGTTACCCCCATTTTGCCCCTATCTCTCCACCCTTCCATTCCCATGGTCCCCGTTACCCCCATTCTCCCCCCATCTCTCTGCCCCCCCATTCCCCCCCATCTCTCTGCCCCCCCATTCCCCCCATCTCTCTGCCCCCCCCCATTCCCCCCATCTCTCTGCCCCCCCCATTCCCCCCCATCTCTCTGCCCCCCCATTCCCCCCCATCTCTCTGCCCCCCCATTCCCCCCCATCTCTCTGCCCCCCCCATTCCCCCATCTCTCTGCCCCCCCCATTCCCCCCCATCTCTCTGCCCCCCCATTCCCCCCCATCTCTCTGCCCCCCCATTCCCCCCCCATCTCTCTGCCCCCCCATTCCCCCCCATCTCTCTGCCCCCCCATTCTCTGCCCCCCCATTCTCCCCCATCTCTCTGCCCCCCATTCTCCCCATCTCTCTGCCCCCCCATTCCCCCCCCATCTCTCTGCCCCCCCATTCCCCCCCATCTCTCTGCCCCCCCATTCTCCCCCCATCTCTCTGCCCCCCCATTCTCCTCTGCCCCCCCCCCCCCCCCATCTCTCTGCCCCCCCATTCCCCCCATCTCTCTGCCCCCCATTCCCCCCCATCTCTCTGCCCCCCCATTCCCCCATCTCTCTGCCCCCCCCATTCCCCCCCATCTCTCTGCCCCCCCATTCTCCCCCCATCTCTCTGCCCCCCCATTCCCCCATCCCTCTGCCCCCCCATTCCCCCCCATCTCTCTGCCCCCCCATTCTCCCCCGTCTCTCTGCCCCCCCCATTCCCCCCATCTCTCTGCCCCCCCCCATTCCCCCCATCTCTCTGCCCCCCCATTCCCCCCCATCTCTCTGCCCCCCCATTCCCCCCCCATTCCCCCCATCTCTCTGCCCCCCCCATTCCCCGCCATCTCTCTGCGCCCCCCATTCCCATGGTCCCCGTTACCCCCATTCTCCTATCTCTCCGCCCCCCCCATTTCCCCCATCTCTCTGACCCCCATTCCCCCCCCCATCTCTCTGCCCCCCATTCCCCCCATCTCTCTGCCCCCCCATTCTCCCCCATCTCTCTGCCCCCCCCATTCCCCCCCATCTCTCTGCCCCCCCATCACCCCCTCTCTCCCTGTTGCCCCCCCCAGTGCTGCAGCCCGCCGTCGAAGCCTTCTTCCTGGTGCACGCCACGGAGCGGGAGAGCAAGCCCCCGGTGCGGGATACCCGGGAGAGCCAATTGGCCCACATCAAGGACGAGCCCCCCCCGCTGTCCCCCGCCCCCCTGACCCCCGCCACCCCCTCCTCCCTGGACCCCTTCTTCTCCCGCGAGCCCTCCTCCATGCACATCTCGGCCAGTTTGCCCCCCGACACCCAAAAGTTCCTGCGCTTCGCTGGTGAGTGGGGGGGGGGGGGGCTGGGGGGATGGGAGAGGGATTTGGGGGGGGGGAGGGGGATGGGGGGGGGTTGGGGGTGATGGAAAGGGGGATTCATTGTGATGGGAAGGGGTTTGGGGGTGATGGGAATGGGATTGGGGGTCATGGGAGGGGGATTGGGGGGTTCAGGTGATGGGAGGGGGATTGGGGGTGATGGGAGGGGGATGGGGGGATGGGAGGGCATTTGGGGGTGATGGGAGAGGGATTGGGGGTGATGGGAATGGGATTGGGGTGATGGGAGGGGGATTGGGGGGTTCAGGTGATGGGAGGGGGATTGGGGGTGATGGGAGGGGGATGGGGGGATGGGAGGGCATTTGGGGGTGATGGGAGAGGGATTGGGGGTGATGGGAATGGGATTGGGGTGATGGGATGGGGATTGGGGGGGAGGGGGATGGGGGGGATTGGGGGTGATGGAAAGGGGGATTCATTGTGATGGGAAGAGGTTTGGGGGTGATGGGAATGGGATTGGGGTGATGGGATGGGGATTGGGGGGGATGGGAGGGCATTTGGGGGTGATGGGAGAGGGAGGGGGGTGATGGGAGAGGGATTGGGGGTGATGGGAATGGGATTGGGGTGATGGGATGGGGATTGGGGCGGAGGGGGATGGGGGGGTTGGGGGTGATGGAAAGGGGGGTTCATTTTGATGGGAAGGGGTTTGGGGGTGATGGGAATGGGATGGGGGTGATGGGATGGGGTGGGGATGGGGGGTGACAGGGGATTTGGGGGGGATGGGGGGTGATGGGAGGGGATTTGGGGGTGATGGGAATGGGATTGGGGTGATGGGAGGGAGATTGGGGGGGGAGGGGAATGGGGGGGATTGGGGGGGATGGAAAGGGGGGTTCATTGTGATGGAAGGGGGGTTGGGGGTTCAGGTGATGGGGTGGGGATGGGGGGTGACAGGGGATTTGGGGGTGATGGGAGGGGGATGGGGGGTGATGGGAGGGGATTTGGGGGTGATGGGAATGGGATTGGGGTGATGGGATGGGGATTGGGGGGGAGGGGGATGGGGGGGTTGGGGGTTGGGGGTGATGGAAAGGGGGGTTCATTGTGATGGAAGGGGGTTGGAGGTTCAGGTGATGGGGTGGGGATGGGGGGTGACAGGGGATTTGGGGGGGATGGGAGGGGGATGGGGGTGATGGGAGGGGATTTGGGGGTGATGGGAATGGGATTGGGGTGATGGGAGGGGGATTGGGAGCGTTCAAGTGATGGGAAGGGTATTGGGGGTGATGGGAAGGGGATTGGGGTGGGTTCGGGTGACGGGATGGGGATGGGGGGTGATGGGAGGGGGTTTAGGGGGATTTGGGGGTGTTTGGAGTGATGGGAGGGGGATTTGGGGGTGCTTGGAGCAATGGGAGGGGGAATTGGGGTGATGGGAGGGGGATTGGGAACGATGGGGGTGTTTGGGGCCTTGGGAAGTGGATTTGGGGTGGGATTGGGGGGTGTTTGGGGCATTTGGAGGGGTTTTGGGGGGGGGTTGAGATGATGGGATGGGGCTTAGGGAAGATAAAAGAGGGGGGACCTCGGGCTCCCAAGAGCCTTGGGGAGGCTTTTGGGGTGTTGGGAGGCGGTGTGGGAGCAGCCGGGGTGTTGGGAACAGGGCTGGGAAGGGATTTGGGGGCACCTGGAGCTTTGGGAAGCGCCTTTGGGGTCCCCTCTTCACGGCCCTTTGCCTCCTTTGGGGCACCCAAGGTGGTGGCACATCCCCTCCTCCCCCCCTCGTTTCCTACGCAAGAACCCCCCCTTTTTGGGGTGTCCACCCCATAACCCCTCTGTGTCCGTCCCCCCTCCGCCCCATAGAGACCCACCGGACGGTGCTGAACCAGATCCTGCGTCAATCCACGACCCACTTGGCCGATGGCCCCTTCGCCGTCCTGGTCGACTACATCCGAGTGCTGGACTTCGATGTCAAGCGCAAGTACGAGGCCGGGGCCTTGAGATGGGATGGGGGGGAAAGGGGGTGAAATATAGAGGGGGGGTCCCCTAAAGCCTGGTTTTGGGGTGCTCCCACCCCCCCCCCAGGTACTTCCGTCAGGAGCTGGAGCGGTTGGATGAGGGCCTGCGCAAGGAGGACATGGCCGTGCACGTGCGGCGCGACCACGTCTTCGAGGACTCCTATAGGGAGCTGCATCGGAAGTCCCCCGAGGAGATGAAGAACAGGCTGTGAGTGCCCAGAGACACCCAAAGTACAGCCAGAGACACCCAAAGTACAGCCAGAGACACCCAAAATACACCCAAGCTACACCCAGAGACACCTGAAATACACCCAGACACACCCAGAATACACCCGGAGACTCCCAAAATACACCCACAGACCCAAAATGCACCCAAGCTACACCCAGAGACACCTGAAATACACCCAGACACACCCAAAATACACCCAGAATACACCTGGAGACTCCCAAAATACACCCGGAGACACTCAAAATACACCCAGAGACCAAAAAGACACCCAGAAACATCTGAAATACACCCGGAGACTCCCAAAATACACCCAGAATACAGTCAGAGGCACACGAAATACACCCATAGATGCCTGAAACACAGCAAGAGACACCCAGAATACACCCAGAGACACCGAGACACCCCAAATCCACCCAGAAACACCCCAGAAGCACCCCAAAATCCACCCAGAAACATCCAAAGATACATCAACACCCCAAAATCTAAGCAGACACCCAAAACCCACCCAGAAACACCCCAAATCCAGTGCAAAACCACCCCAAATCCACCCAGAAACACCCCAATGCAGTGCAAAACCACCCCAAATCCACCCAGAAACACCCAAAATCCCCCTACAAGCACCCTAAAATCCACCCAGACACACCCCAAATCCACCCAGAAGCACCCAACCCCCCTCTAACCCCCCCCAAACCCCCCATTTCTCCCTCTCCCCCCCCCCAGGTACATCGTGTTTGAGGGCGAGGAGGGGCAGGACGCGGGGGGCCTGCTGCGGGAGTGGTACATGATCATCTCGCGGGAGATGTTCAACCCCATGTACGCGCTGTTCCGCACGTCGCCGGGGGACAGGGTCACCTACACCATCAACCCCTCGTCCCACTGCAACCCCAACCACCTGAGCTACTTCAAGTTCGTGGGGCGCATCGTGGCCAAGGCCGTGTACGACAACCGCCTGCTCGAGTGTTACTTCACCCGCTCCTTCTACAAGCACATCCTGGGCAAGTCCGTCAGGTGAGAGGGGATGGGGGGGGTTGACAGCCGGCTCCGGGGTGTTAGAGCATCCTGATGGGGTGTAGAACACCTTATATGGTGATGGACACCCAGCTTCGGTGGTGGAACCACCTTTATGGGGTGATGGACACCCATCTTGGGGTGTGGAACCGCCTTCATGGGGTGTAGAACAGCCTTGCATGGTGAGGGACACCTGGCTTGGGGTGTTAAAGCATCCTCATGGGGTGTAGGACCACCTTCGTGGGGTATAGAACAGCCTTGCATGGTGAGGGACACCTGGCTTGGGGTGTTAAAGCATCCTCATGGGGTGTAGGACCACCTTCAGGGGGTGTAGAACAGCCTTGCATGGTGATGGACACCTGGCTTGGGCTGTTAAAGCATCCTCATGGGGTGTAGGACCACCTTCAGGGGGTGTAGGACCACCTTCAGGGGGTGTAGAACAGCCTTGCATGGTGATGGACGCCTGTTTGGGGTGTTAAAGCTTCCTTACAGGGTGATGGACACCCCGTCTTGAGGTGTGGAACCACCTTCATTGGGTGTAGGACTGCCTTCATGGGGTGTAGGACCGCCTTCATGGGGTGTAGAACAGCCTTGCATGGTGATGGACACCTGGCTTGGGCTGTTAAAGCATCCTCATGGGGTGATGGACACCCATCTTAGGGTGATGGTCAACCTTTTTGAGGTGGAGAACCCCATTTTTAAGGTGTAGATTCCCCTTCTTGGGGTGTAGAGCCCCCTTTTTGAAGTGTTGAACCACATTTTTTGGGTGTAGAACCCCATTTTTAAAGTGCAGAACCCCATTTTCAGGGTGTAGAACCCCTTTTTTGGGTGTAGAACCCCATTTTGGGGGTATAGGACCCCTTTTCAAGTATTGAACCCTGTTTTTGAGGTGTAGAACCCCTTTTTGGGGTTGTCTAACCCTGTTTTGGGGCTGTAGAACCCCATTTCGGGGCTGTAGAACCCCCTTTTGGGGCTTTAGAACCTCATTTTTGGCTGTAGAACCCCCATTTTTGGGTGTAGAGCCTCATTTTTTGGCTGTGGAACCCCCTTTTAGCGGTGTAGAACCCTGTTTTTGGGCTGTAGAACCTCAGGATCTGGCTGTAGAACCCTCTTTTTGGGCTGTAGAACCCCCTTTTTGGCTGTAGAACCCCGTTTTTGGGTGTAGAACCTCGTTTTTTGGCTGTGGAACCCCCTTTTAGCGGTGTAGAACCCTGTTTTTGGGCTGTAGAACCTTGGGATCTGGCTGTAGAACCCCCTTTTTGGGCTGTAGAACCCCATTTTTGGGTGTAGAACCCCATTTTTGGCTGTAGAACCTCGTTTTTTGGCTGTGGAACACCCTTTTAGCGGTGTAGAACCCCCTTTTTGGCTGTCAAACCCCCGTTTTGGGGGTGCTGACCCCGCTGTGGCGCAGGTACACGGACATGGAGAGCGAGGATTACCACTTCTACCAGGGCCTGGTCTATCTGCTGGAGAACGACGTCTCCACCCTGGGCTACGACCTCACCTTCAGCACCGAGGTACCCCCCCCAAACCAGGGACACCCCAAAACCCGGCCTCGGGGTGCCCCCAGCACCACCAACCCCTCTCCCCCTCAGGTCCCAGGGGTTTCCCCCTTTTTGGGGGGGTCCCCCTGTCCCAATGCTGTCCCTCGGGGTGTCCCCTGCTTTGGGGGGGTCCCCCCCATCCCACTGGTGTCCCCTTTGGTCTTGGGGTGTCCCCCCCTATTCCAGGGGTGCCCCTAAGTCCCAAAGGGGTCTCCCCTGTTCTTGGGGTGTCCCCTGCTTTGGGGGGGTCCCCCCTGTCCCAATGGTTTCCCCTTTGTTCCCGGGGTGCCCCCCCTCCTTTGGGGGTGTCCCTTGACCCCCTCCACCCCCCCCCCATTCAGGTGCAGGAGTTTGGGGTGTGCGAGGTCCGGGACCTGAAGCCCAACGGAGCCAACGTCCTGGTGACGGAGGAGAACAAGAAGGAGTACGTGCACCTCGTGTGCCAGATGCGCATGACCGGTGAGCACCGGGCGGGTATTGACAGCGTTCCCAGTGACATTCCAAACGTTCCCAACGACATTCCCAGCATCCCCAACAACATTCCAAACGTTCCCAACGACGTTCCCAACATCCCCAACAACATTCCCAACATCCCCAACATTCCAAACGTTCCCAACGACATTCCCAACATCCCCAACAACATTCCCAACATCCCCAACATTCCAAACGTTCCCAACGACATTCCCAGCATCCCCAACAACATTCCAAACGTTCCCAACATCCCCAACAGCATTCCAAACGTTCCCAACGACATTCCCAACATCCCCAACAACATTCCAAACGTTCCCAACATCCCCAACAGCATTCCCAACGTTCCCAACAGCATTCCCAAAGACATTCCCAACACTCCCAACATTTCCAACATTCCCAACGTTCCTAATGTTGTTCCCAACAATGTTCCCAACATTCCCAACACCATTCCCAACACCATTCCCAGCAACATTCCCAGCATTCCCAACAATTTTCCCAACACCATTACCAGCATTCCCAGCAACCTTCCCAACACCATTCCCAACACCATTCCCAACAACTTTCCCAACAACATTCCCAGCATTCCCAGCAACATTCCCAGCACTCCCAACAGCATTCCCAGCATTCCCAACATTCCCAGCAACCTTCCCAACACCATTCCCAGCATTCCCAACACCTTTCCCAACAACATTCCCAGTATTCCCAACCCCATTCCCAACAACTTTCCCAACACCATTCCCAACACCTTTCTCAACACCTTTCTCAACAACTTTCCCAACATTCCTAGCAACATTCCCAGCATTCCCAACCCCATTCCCAACAACCCCCATTCCCAACCCCATTCCCGCCCCGTTCCCACTGACCCCGCCGTTATCCCGCAGGAGCCATCCGGAAGCAGCTGGCCGCCTTCCTGGAGGGTTTCTATGAGATCATCCCCAAGCGCCTCATCTCCATCTTCACGGAGCAGGAGCTGGAGCTGCTCATCTCGGGGCTGCCCACCATCGACATCGACGACCTCAAGGCCAACACCGAGTACCACAAGTACCAGGGCAACTCCATCCAGGTGGGCACTGCCCCCAGACAGACCCCAATCAGCCCCAAAACGGCCCCAAATCGGCCCCAAAACAGCCCAAAAACAGACCCCAAAACAGCCCAAAAACTGTCCAAAAACTGCCCAAAATCAGCCCCCAAACAGCCCCAAATCAGCCCAAAACCAGGCCAAAAACTGTCCCAAAACAGCCCCAAATCAGGCCAAAACCAGTCCCAAAACAGCCCCAAACCAGTCCCCAGAACAGCCCCCAAAACTACCCCAAACCACCCAGGAAATACCCCAACCCCCCCAAAAACCACCCCAAAGCACCCAGAAATACCCCAGAACACCCAGAAAATACCCTAAAACCACCTCCAAACCACCCAGAAAATACCCCAAAACCACCCTAAAACCACTCCAAAACCCACCCCAAAACACCCAGAAAATACCCCAAAACCACCTAAAACCACTCCAAAACCCACCCCAAACCACTCCAAAACCCACCCCAAAACACCCAGAAATACCTCAAAACTACCCTAAAACCACTCCAAAACGCACTCCAGAACACCCAGAAATACCCCAAAACCCACCCCAAAACACCCAGAAATACCTCAAAACCACCCTAAAACCACTCCAAAACCACCATAAAACCACTCCAAAACCCACCCAAAACACCCAGAAATACCCCAAACCCACCCCAAAACACCCAGAAATACCCCAAACCCACCCCAAAACACCCAGAAATACCTCAAAAACCACCCTAAAACCACTCCAAAACCCACCCAAAACACCCAGAAATACCTCAAAACCACCCTAAAACCACTCCAAAACCACCATAAAACCACTCCAAAACCCACCCAAAACACCCAGAAATACCCCAAACCCACCCCAAAACACCCAGAAATACCCCAAACCCACCCCAAAACACCCAGAAATACCTCAAAAACCACCCTAAAACCACTCCAAAACCCACCCAAAACACCCAGAAATACCCCAAAACCCACCCCAAAACACCCAGAAATACCCCAAACCCACCCCAAAACACCCAGAAATACCTCAAAACCACCCTAAAACCACTCCAAAACCACCATAAAACCACTCCAAAACCCACCCAAAACACCCAGAAATACCTCAAACCCACCCAAAACACCCAGAAATACCTCAAACCCACCCAAAACACCCAGAAATACCTCAAACCCACCCCAAAACACCCAGAAATAGCCCAAACCCACCCCAAAACACCCAGAAATAGCCCAAACCCACCCCAAAACACCCAGAAATACCCCAAACCCACCCCAAAACCCCCAGAAATACCTCAAACCCACCTCAAAACACCCAGAAATACCCCAAACCCGCCCCAAAACCCCCAGAAATACCCCAAACCCACCCCAAAACACCCAGAAATACCCCAAACCCACCCCAAACCCTCCCCAGATCCAGTGGTTCTGGCGGGCGCTGCGCTCCTTCGACCAGGCCGACCGCGCCAAGTTCCTGCAGTTCGTGACGGGCACGTCCAAGGTGCCCCTGCAGGGCTTCGCCGCCCTCGAGGGCATGAACGGCATCCAGAAGTTCCAGATCCACCGCGACGACCGCTCCACCGACCGCCTGCCCTCGGCGCACACCTGGTACCGCCGGCGCGCGCAGGGACGCGGGGCGGACGCGGGGTGGACGTGGGATGAACATGGATACGGGGTGGATGTAGATACGGGGTGGACGTGGGATGGACGTGGATACGGGATGGACGGGGGTATGGGATGGATGTGGACACGGGATGGACGTGGATATGGGATGGATGTGGGATGGACGTGGGTACGGGATGGACATGGATATGGGATGGACGTGGACACGGGATGGACATGGATATGGGATGGACGTGGGTACGAGATGGACGTGGATATGGGATGGACGTGGGTACGGGATGGACATGGGTACGGGATAGACGTGGATATGGGATGGATGTGGATACGGGGTGGACATGGGATGGACATGGTTATGGGATTGACGTGGATATGGGATGGATGTGGACACGGGATGGATGTGGGTACGGGATGGACGTGGATATGGGATGGATGTGGATACGGGGTGGACATGGGATGGACATGGTTACGGGATGGACATGGATATGGGATGGACGTGGACACGGGATGGATGTGGGTATGGGATGGACGTGGATGTGGGATGGACATGGATATGGGATGTGGGATGGATGTGGATATGGGATGGATGTGGACATGGGATGGACATGGACATGGATACGGGATGGACGTGGGATGGATACGGGATGGACGTGGATAGTGGATGTGGGGTGGATGTGGATATGGGATGGATGTGGATATGGGATGTGGGATGGACA